TACATTTTGACAAACAACATGAATCAATTAGACCCATTTTTTGGAGCACTTGCATGCCGGTTGTCCCCGGATTAATGGATAATCATCTGTATGCTCCCATCCCACCGGTTTCCCTCCTCGATGAGCACTCTTGTGTGTCATTAGCATTAGCCTAATCCCTGTCTCCACCAGGTCATACGGACACATGCAGTACTGATGCGTATATTCCGAACTGCAAAAACTGACACATAAGCGTAATGTTCCAATTAGGTATAAAAACTCTACTAAAGTAGCTCCTAGAACGTATCTGTGGTTCGTTATAAAAATAATAGAAACTGTTCATTATTTCCGACTGTTATTCTCTTTATTAATTAACGAATAACACTTATTATGGCACGGCTTTAAAAGGGGGCTGAGTTAATTAGTACACACTCCACTGAAACCACGTATAGGGAAATATTTATCTTCGAAAATCTAACTTCGTTAATGATGCATTTTGAAAACACAGCAGGACGTATGCAAGCTGTAGCTATCTATAAGCATCATTAGTATCAGTGTCCTGTGGGGGCACGCGGTGGCGTAGTTGGTTGAGGCACTATGCTACAAGCCGGAAGGTCGCGGGATCGAATCCCGATGAGGTGGATTTTTCAATTTACCTAATCCTTCCAGCCGCACTATGGCCCTGGGGTAGACTCAGCCTCTAACAGAAATGAGTATCAGGAATATTCTTGGAATAGTCTTGGGGGTAAAGGGGGGCCGGCGCGTAAGGCTGACAACCTTACCGCCATCTATGAACAATTGCCTAGAAAATATGGGAACCTCAACATCTCACAACCCTATGGGCCTCCACGGCCTGTTACAGGGATACCTTTACTTTTTTGTCACTGTTCTGTAATGAAGACGAGATAAGTGACTCAAAGTGACCGGCTATGCTGCATGATAACTCTTTGGTTATCAGCAGAGGCACAAATTTTTTTCGGCCATTACGTTCAGGCCTGCACTGAAATCCACATAGCACCCTTTGAATGGGTACAGGTGTCCGTAGGACCCGGGACAGCTCAGTCGATAGAGCGACGAGCTACGGGCTCGACGGACGGGATTCGATTCTCGGGCAAGAGATTTTTCTCTACTTCATAGCGTCCAGACCGGCTCTGAGGTCCACACACTTTCATATCCAATGAGTACTGAGGGGCTTTTCTCTTGGGGTAAAGCGGCCGGGGCGTGAAGGTGACCACTCATCTCCACCTTGTGCCGAGGTCAAGAATAAATGTGCTCCAAAATGGGTGTTCATAGCGCGGTGCGTAATTAGTTAAGCATAGGGACAACTTTACCCCGAAGCATAGAGCTCACCATTCATCTTCCCCCCTCTGCCTACATGTCTTCATTGCGTGGTGATGGGAGGTGGGAAGATGTATTGCAGGCACGTCATACTGTGGCTTGTCTCGCAAATCCTAAAATCTTTCTCGGGCTTCGGTAAAACTGCGCATGAGGTAATTCTTCTAAAACTTGGGGCTAAAATAATAAATCTGGGCATTATAGGTAACTCATTTAATTTTCAGACATGTTACAATTCCTACGGTTAAATACACGTAATACAACAAATGTTAACCAGATAAACGTGTACCTACATTAACATTTCCTTTAAAAGTACTGTCCTTTCTTAAGGAAGCATAAGAGATCACAGTACTGTCTGCGTTTCTCCCACTTCAACTTCTGAAGGCCTGGACCGATCCTCACGAAACGTGCAATGGACGTTATGTCAAGTACATACCATTCGAACTTCGTGCTTTTTAATTTCATGAAACTGGTAATAACATGATGGAAGAACGAAACTCTGAGGTGGCGGAGGTACTAGCACCACTTAACACTGAGTTCTGAAGTGACGTTTCCCACGTTACGTTCTATTCACATTTTATTGTTTTGAAACTGCAAACGTTTATTTCCAATTTCTTAAATTATTATGAGGAAATATGGGCCTATGAAGCGCGAAACTAACATAACTCGATGGAGCTTCTTAAGGAGCCGCCAGCTGTTCAAGCAGTCAAGAATTTCCCAAGATTTTATGTAACCCAAAGGTTCATTACCGTGTCCACAAGAACCCTTAATTGGTCCCTATTCTGAGCCTGAACAATCCAGTCCACACCACCCCATCCTATCTCTCTAAGATCCATTTCAATACCTACAGCATCGAATTAAAGTTACATGTTTCTGATTATTCCGTTATATAAACGCTTTAATGATAGTCTTACATGCTAAGCCCTCTATTATGCTGAGTGAATCTGCACACACATGAAAAAGAGTTCAGAGAAACAGTCGACTCATATATCTACTTTTCAGTTGTTTCTGCCGAGTCCTTCCTTCACGCTGAAATATTTCATTATTTCTGCAAAACTTGGCAGGAGAAATTTAGTGTATTGTTTTCATACTAATCTTACTTAAAGTGTACGCTTTTACGCGGAACATTTTCAGATACAATGCCACTGTGGAACCGGGAGACTGGGAACGTATTTTAATACCTTTCGCATACAACCTGTATTAAAACCACACCGCAACACTCAAAACGCATTGGACCAGAGGTTCTGAAGGAAAATGTACAGTTTCTGGATTCGTGAAAAGAGTTCCTCGTTGCTGTTATTGGCATTTAAATAATAATTTTCCAAAATTCATAACCAGCTCGAATCAATGAATGACATAAAATATTTAAGCATAAGGTTTATTCAAGGTATGCAGAGAAAAACAGATTTTAGACTGAAACGCAATACAACACCACCACAGATGCGGTTTATTCTGTCTTCTTTTTAACGAACGCATCTAGTGTTCGCAATTTAGAATCACTGCAATACGTGCATGTTACAGATTTCAATGTGACTGAAGTTTTAATATAACAGAATTGGAACTGGGACATTAGGGGGGCATTACACACTTGAGAAGGATGCATAGGAAGGGGTCCTTATTTATTTTAAAGTATAATCCCAACAACTTTGCAGAAAATCTGAGGAAAACTCATCATCATCATCAGTAATCTGTCAAGACGACAGGTCCACAGTCTCTTTCAAAACAATTCCTCCACTTAATGCGATCTAGAGCTTTCTCCTTCAAATGACAGTATCCTCTTCTGTCCCCAAGGTCATCCAGCATCTTCTTACGTCTTCTTCCTCGTCTTCTTGTCACTTCTATCCGCCCATCTATCTTTCCTTCGATAGCTTCTTTTAGAAGGCAGTTTCTGCGTAAAACATGACCAATCCAATTAGCCTTCCGTTTTCTTATTTCATGTAGGATATTCCTCTGCTCACTGACTCTAATTAACACTTCTTCATTTCTCACATAATCGGTCCAACTGATCTTCTCCATTCTTCTCCAACACCACATTTCGAAACTTTCCAGATGTTTCTGATCTACTGCCCTAAGTGTCCATGTTTCAGCCCCATACAGAGCTATGCTCCAAATGTAGCATTTCACTAGTTTCTTCCTCAAATTTAAGTCCAATTTGCTGGTAAAAAGATTCTTCTTCTTGCTAAATGCAGCTTTTGCCATGGCAATCCTGGATTTAATTTCACAAGTACACCTTCCATCATCTGTTAACAAGCTACCCAAATATTTAAAACATTTCAAACATTTCAAAACATTTCAAACATTTCAAAACATTTCAAAACATTTTTTTTGTAGTTTTCCTCAGTCTCTTTCCAGAAACAGAGGAAAACTACAAAAAAAACCCAATCGAAAGAGCCAGCCCCCAGGCTGAGAATTGAACTTGACCAGTACTCAAGCGCCTTACGGTTCTAAATTATATCGTCACGTGTCTTGGGTGTATAACGCGACAAATAACTTCACGCCTTATTGGATATAGCGAATTTTATTCCACACTCGCTCATACAATCACACAATTTACAGATTCACAACTACTGCTATCTGCAGTATTACAATTACCAGACTGCATACTCTTCCCTGGCCAACTCGTAACTCACTCTTGAATAGTCTTCGCTGCTCCTTATTTAGCCCCGTTACGGACAACACAGAAAACAGCTACGTAATAAGCACCACTGTTGTCGGACGTCGTGTTTGCCGACAGCCTAGCAACGCTGTCGGGAGTTGTTTACTGCTGAGTAGCAACGGCGGCATCCCGTGTTACGTCACCGCTGGCGGGGTAGGCGAAGGAGTGTTGACTTGCCTGTTACCTTAGTAACGACAGCGATCCGATGGTGTTACGTCACCGCTGGCGGGGGGAGGAGTGTCCTGCATAGCGCAACACGTCACAATATGAATACCTGGTTCATGCATGCACAGAGCTGTAGTAATCGCAATAATGCCATACTACACCATACTACTAACCTGACTATATTCTGCGTGGTTCACACATGCACAGACCTGTAGTTCTGATAACGTCAAACCGCTCCATATCTGTCCTGCTCACAACTCTACTTGGTTCACGAATTCGCAGAGCTGTAGTTATCATAATGATCATAACGAAAAATCACTCCAGCCTATTCTCCTGGCTATAACCTACTTCGTTCACGCATGCGCAAATCTGTAGCTATCATGACTGAATAAGTTCCACCTGAGGATGGAGACAGAAACAAGTCTCTGAAACGTGTGTTTCAAATAAAAACAGGATGATGGATGATGTCCAGAAACAAAATAATTGTATCATGACAAGGCCACACCGCCCTGTTCTCCTGGTTCACGCAAGCGCAGAGCTGTATCTATCCTGACAACGCGAAGCCACTCCACATCTGTTCTCTCGGTTCACGCAAGCGCACAGCTGTAGCTATCATGACAAGGCCAAACCGCTCTGTTCTCCTGGTTCACGCAAGCGCAGAGCTGTATCTGTCCTGACAACGCGAAGCCACTCCACATCTGTTCTCTCGGTTCACGCAAGCGCACAGCTGTAGCTATCATGACAACGCCAAGCCGCCCTGTTCTCCTGGTTCACGCAAGCGCAGAGCTCTAGGTATCATGACAACGCCAAACCGCTTCAGGTCTGTTAACCTGATTCTACTTTAGACATGTTGCGAGAATTTTACCTGTGAGTATCCGTACACGTGGATTTTCTTTGCGGCCGCATCGTGTTTGATCCGACCTCCACCAACGCACTCAGAGTCCAGGCCTAGAGACTGAACCTCTTCCATTGTCTTGTCGTAGATATTTCCTGTAGACAGAAACAAGAAGCACCTTTAGGAACTGACTGGCCCACACTGCGACATAACATTCCTTCACAGAGGGACGAAGCAGTAACGGACATCGCAGCGAACCGGCGACGTATTGATCTTAGGCTGTCACATGTTTACCATGGCGGTCTAGACGTACGACTTCCGCGATGAAGACAGCAAGTTCGAGACCGGCGGCAAACAATAAGAATTCAGGTTTTTATTTTCGGGCATTCAACCTTTCTCACCCAAAAGCTTTCTTGCAAAGTATGCATTAGCTTTTCTTTAACAATGCACTGTAATCGAATTTCTCCTAATATTGTTGTTAAAATATAATATTAAAAATTCTTAAATTAGCTATGTTTTTATGAACTTCTAATTAAATTACAATATGCACATAGCTGTAAAGTATAATTCCTGGAAAGGGAAAGTATTTTTTAATGGACAGAATATGGATTTCTGAAAAAAGATGACCGGTGGAACGCAAGTTGAACTGGCTTACTTAACTGCTCATCAACAGCGCAGGCTGTAGAGCGTCGAATGCTGGGGTGACCATGAAGAGGGGCATGAACAGGATGCGGCAGGAAGCAGACGTGTCCTCAAATGAGGTATTATCCCGGCATTTGTCTAGAGAGATTGAGGAAAATCATGAAAAACTTCAGCCAGAAGAGGCGATCTTTGGACGAATAACTGAACTCCGAATACGAAATAGAAGGACTGTACACTGGACCTTATCCTGAGCTAAATAAATTTGATCCGTATCAACACGCATATTTACTTAAGACCAATTATTATACTATATTACTTTCTACATTTGGATCATTCGTTAAAACTGTCCGACTAAGAACATGTAAGCATTCATCGTCTCTTCCATGAAACACGTCTTGTAAATTTCATCCTCTTTGATTTGATCAACCAATTAACATCCAGTGTTTTCAAACACGCCTCAGTTTATATTCTTCCCTTAAGGTAAGAAACCGAATTGCGTACATAAATTGCTTATATAAAGCAACGAATAAAAAACATTTTTGCACCATTTAATCGTTGGGTGCCGGGATAGCGCAGTCGGTACAGCGACTGGCTGGAAGACGGAGAGGTCGGAGTTCGAGTCCCGGTAGGGTCGAGAATTCTCTCTTCTTAACGTAGCCCAGTACGGCTCTAGGACCAACCTAACCTCCTATAAAATGAGTACCGGGGACTCTTTCCTCGAGGATAAAGCGGCCGGGACGTGAAGCTGACAACACCTCCAACTAGTGTCGAGGTCAAGAAAATGTGGACCTATACATCAACTCCCCCATACGTCTTCATGACTTAGCGCCTTAATTAGTTAAGCACAGGGACAAATTTGCCTTTTCGGACTTTATTCTTTATTTTATTGGATAGAGACCCGAAGACACATTACGTAGGCGAAAGACTAAACTCTACGAGTTACTACTTGTTTCGGAACTTTCTGTTACGTTGCAATGTCAAGAGATGTGTAACCAATACGGGAGTGTATCTACATCTCTGCCATAGGTACGGGATATTGCTCCAGCTCTCCGCGTCACGCTGTATGGCAGCGCAACACCTATACAAAAGCGGTCTGCCCCACTCACATTTCAGGAGAAACACTACTACACCACACGATCGATATCAGGGTAATCAAATATTAAGCGCGTGCAGAACGGTATGGAAGCGGCCCAAACACATCGAAAGCAATGAGTTTTATTGACCCGACACGATCTTCGAATGTGCAGGATCCAAACAGTCAGTCGTTTCCTTGTTCAAGTGCCATGTCATCACAATATACGGCAGTGTGAAGGAAAACTAAAGGAAATTTTAAATTGGGCACTACTTATAAATTAAATTACTAATTATGTAGCCGCACGTCAAAAGAAATGCAGATATCACTCGGTCTAAGTGCCACATCACGAAGATGAAGGTAGGCATGGAGGTAAAGTTCCATACAACATTATCTTTGCCAACAGACGTGATGTAGCCTTATAAAGGCTTACATGCGAATGCCTCCCCTCATGGATAGGCACAGCTTACTCTGCTAGTTCAGTAACTAGCAGAAGGTAGGACGATCACGGTTCGATTCCTAACAGAGGTAGGGAATTCGCACATCGTCAACACATTCAAAACGGCTGTGATGTGCCCCCTCTCCAATCCCAATGGGTACCACACACTCTTTCCCTCCTGTAAAACGGCTAGGGCGTGAAGCTGACCATTCACCTCCATGTGATACTGATGTTATGAAGGCATGGAGCCATGTCTCTACTCTCTTGAGCGTTTTCATGAGAACGTGTTTGATTCAAAATGTCCCACCTCAGTTTATCTATAGTGGTTATTCAAAAGTATTATAAGTACGATTCTCCAACAAACCATTTCCAAATATTACGCAGAAATATGTTTACGGGAAACTTATCTTCCAAATTACGTAAAGCATATAACACGATACTAAATTTACGGCTCTCGGATTACCCGTTGAATTTCAAAGATTATTCTGCTAGTTTTTGCTGCATTATTCAGAAAGCTCCAACGGAATGCGAGAATTGCTGATGCCTTGAGGCTGAAGGCCTACAACGGTCTTCTCGTTCGGTACGCACATGACACAAATAAAGAAAACACTGGCTGCGATTAGAACTACAGGGGGCCACGCTGTAACATTCTGTTCACGTCCTTCCGACATACCAGCGTCTTGTGGCAAAAAGGGGCGCGATCTTCTCTCTTCTCAGAATCATAATTCGGACGACGTTCCCAAATGAGAAACAAGACAATTATTGTGTAAGATTTGAGGCTTTCACGGCGGTAAATTTACCGGTTCTCACGGTCTCTCCGCTTGCAGAATTCTTATATTTTTTCTTCTACCCTGAAGATGGAGGCGATACGTTCCTCCGAAACGTCGGTTAACACCACATATACACGGTGCCAAATCCCAGAAGACTGCTTTCTTCAAGACAATTATTAAAGATCCGGTGCATCTTCTACGGCTTTGTTTGACCTTGGCAGCTTTTCAGCTTCTTGATCTTTTATACAGAGTCGGTAGGACTCCTTGGACGGGGGATCAGCTCATCGTAAGACCGCTACTTGTACGTTGGACAACACAAATACAGAATAAATGCACATGGATGGATGCTGATCGGGAATTCTCTGTTCAATTCATTCATCTACTATCTATCTTCTCATTTGCCCACACAAGTATTCATCAATTCATACGTCTGTGTATTAATCCTACTTTCTGTCCGTATGCCCTGACGCCTATAGCTCGTCCGTAATTCTTTGCTTTCAGTGGTTGCACACTGATTGGGGCGTGGGACGGCCCCTTCAGTAATTCTGCTCATTTCCCTGAATCAGCATCTCTATGTGCTTCATACCGCGTTTCGATTCGCGGATGGAGGAACCATACCAATTGCCTCTGCTTCTGTTTTCTTTTCTATTACCACCGCACAACAGCAGTTGTGTTCCGCTAGACATGGCCGTGAATCCTCTGTGGGTTTGCGTAAGCGTAATTAGGTCAAGCTGCGGATGTGTTGCGCCAGGGGACACAGACACTAGCAACAGAGGCCCTTCCTTCCATAGCTTTCACTGTACATCGCCATTTCCTGTGTGCTAGAGCCACTTCCGGATGGCAGCAGAGCGGTTTTCTCTAACTTATATATCTACCAACATAGAAACCGGCTGAAATTCAACAGGGAATCTTTACCGTCGTACTTTCTTTTACACGTCTCATATCTCCATTTCATTCTTTCATTTCTTCTTTAAAACAGAGATTGAATTACATTTTTATGCTTCATAGGGCACAGTTCTGAACACACAGATGCCACTTGTGTAAATGTGCGAGAACTACTACGGCGTGAGAATACAATAAACTTGTCTGTTAACAAATATGCATCCGTATTGTACCCAACGTGTTTATTAACTTGAGATATGTTCTTTTAAGGCCTGATGATGACCAAATTGTGGTCGAAACATGTAGCATAGCTATATTTGTAATAAATAAGGAAAATGTACATTAAAATCTACTATCTCCATTGAAGATATTTCCATACCTCTAGTTGTGTTGTGCTGACGGTTATAATACAAAAAAATCAAATATTATATACACAACAGAATGAGGTCTATAAAGTTTATAATAAACATAAACAGTCAGGTAACACATATACATAGATATAAATCGGTTCCTATGGGGCTTATATAATTGTATGTATTAAATGCAGGGTGGAAAGATGAATATGACTGACAGACGTACAGAATGTGGTTGAGTAGGTAGCACTGTTGCTTCATATTTTGGATGTCCCGGGTTAAAATTTCGCCCCAGAGACCTGATATCCTGAGATATCCTGAGATGTTCTTCTTCCAGTTAAATGCTGGGATATTGCCTCAAAACATGCCACGACCACTTCAGTCCATATACTTGCCAATACATCATTGGCTAATGATCCTATCCGTCCTCGCTGTAGCCTACAGTCTGAAGTACTGAAGGCGAGATAAATTTGTCCTTGTGCTTAATTAATTAAGCACCATGCAATGAAGACGCGTTGGGAAGTGGATGTATAAACCTACCATTCTTGACGTCGGTACTAGATGGAGGTGAGTGATCAGCTTCACGCCCCGACCGCTTTACTCTCGGGGAAAAGACTCCCCGGTACCTATCGAACAGGAAGCTGGATGGGCTATGGAAAATCTCTCACCCGTCCAGCCGTTCAACCTGTAGCCCATGGCTATACCGACTAAGCTATCTTGTCGCTAATGACACAAATGATATAAATAACGCATAGGACTTAAATTCATATATCGCCATAAACCGGATTCTTGAGCCTTCTCTATAAAAACGGGATGCTCAATGCTTTAAAGAAGCGTGTCCTAGGATCACATCCCGCTGAAATGTTATTAATCATCAGATCAGGCCGCGCCATAGCTCAAGCGGTTAGTCGCTGGCTTCCCACCGTGGCGGTCTGGGTTCGATCCCGGGTCTGGTCAATTGGGATTTGTGGTGGAAAAAGTTGAGCTGGGGCAGGTT